GGTCCAGTCAACTCTATTTTCAGAGACATCTAAAATGTAAGGGATGACAACTTGCTTAATTGAACAGGATATTCTTCTAAAAGATTTTTTGACATTAGAAGAAACTGAGGTTTGAAAGTTACCATCCAATGGGAACTTGACCGATACCTTGTTGTTGGAGATATCTAAGACTTAAATAGTAAATTTTGTAATCCTTTCCGATTTTTCCACTGAAGTGTTTTGTTCAAATATATACCCAATTGAGGCACAGGTCATATATTGAGGAAATATTTGCCCATAAAATTGTTGTTTGACAAGTTCAAAATTCAATGAGAGCAACCAATGAGAAAACAGCTGGTAACTCTCTGAAAAATGGTTGTTGGACAAATCCATGATCAAGTCTTTCATTTCACCATTGATAAGATGCTCATCTATTATCGACTGCAGCTAGGAATTGAAAGATCTACATATTCGGGAGTTGACACTGAAATTGTTATGAGAAATATAAAAAACAATGGAATCATGTTTGGTGTTTGGCAGTTAAGAGTTCCTGAGAATGAGTTGTTCACCAAACATCCTTCAAGTTTGTGTTATTTACTAAACCAAGATGGAAATGTACCAACCAACTTATATGAGAGAGTCAAGGATAATAAGTCATATTGGTAAGAAGAAAACTAGGGATGGCATTAAGTTGCAATGAGTTAACTGAGGGCCTTCAATTAAATGCGGGAACCAATTTTATTTTCCACTTGAAACGTGTTTCTGATGAGAGTGCAATATCTGAAGCTTTGAAAGGTTGCCCATGAACTTAGGAATATTTCCTTCAAAGTTATTTTCTTGGACATCCAAATATTCAAGAGATTTTGTGAGTAAAACATGGCAAAGTTCCTTAATTGATTTGATGAAAGAACAGAACCTTGAGGTAGGTGAAGTTGGTGAGACATGGGGATGACTTCACACCAAATTATTGTCCAAGATTAGTTCAACAAGATCCATTAACTCACATATTCCTGATAAAAATGAAGAAATCGCCACGTTACAATGAAGTGTCTAACAGTTAATATACTATATTTATTAAAACATTGTAAGTTTACTACCTGAACTTGAAAAGAGCCATTCATTTCATTATAACTGAGCATCCAATGCTTTCAAATTCGAAACCTAAACCAATGAAAGATAAAAAGAATTTGAAAATAAGATAGTTGGAAATTATAGAAAGAAAAAGTAAGATCAACATCTTCCAGTCAATTGAGACCAAAAGAGAAAAAAAACGAAATAAAAAATACAAACAAATTTGAAACAAGTATGAAATATGTAAAAGGTTATAATAATTAAATTTAGATTGCTTTCTTCTATATTAAATATATAAATATTTTAATTTCGTACACCAATTAAAGAGTGTGGAAAGTTCCTTTCAGTTTAACTTTATTGTATGATGGGTAAAAAAAGAGTTGACCACATCATAATATATAAAAAAAAATTATTTATATAATTAATTCTTCATGCAGTTCCACTCTTTAATTAATTAATTCCAATATTACTCAATAAATCTAAATCCAAATCTAGTAAAACTTTACCTTTTATTTTTTTTTGCATTCTTCATTCAACAACCCAAAAACAGTAAATTACTATATTTTTTTTTTAAAATTACTAAAATATAATTAATTACTAAACAAATCAATTTAGTGTTTGTTTTAACTTTTTGCCATAATAATTTCTCAAAATTATTTAAAAAGGACATAATCAAAATATTAGTTTTAAGATGTTTACATATAAAACAAATAACCAAATTCGATTTACAAGCCATAACTTTCTAGTTTTATTCAAATAGACCAATTACAGAGCCATTTTTAATATGAAATGAAAAAGATAAATTTGTATTTACCTAACCAGTAGACCTGCTTATGATGTGCCGCTAAGCCAACGTTCCAAGGCTGTTAGATTTTCTATCCTATACCAATAAAGAAAATATTAGACTTTATAAATTAAAAATAATTCAGAAAATTATAAGATTAACTCATGTCTAAAGAAGAATGAATATCAGAAATATTTAAGATAACTCAACATATATCTATCTAAACAAATATCAAAGAAATAGAATTAGGAAATAATAATATAAATATATTAATTCACAATCTTTAAAAGTAAAAAGATAACTATCTGAATTTTTTTTTTTTTTTTTAATATTTTGAGCCAGTTATCTGATTATCATTTAGATACAACACTTTCACCTTTCCAAATTTGATAAATCTAAGAGAAATGAGAAAATAAAATTAATGAGGATGGGATATACAAAAATAAGGTCGATTATATCTCAAATATCAATTGAGAACACAGGTAAATAACTTGGATATACTTATTTAAATTGGATATTAAAATACAAAAATACTCTCTGATAACAAGTTTATTTGAGCTAACTAGCAAATACCATGAAACATAGTTAATGAGTATTGGTCTATACAAATCTCAACATAAGTATTGAATTGATAGACATGTTAAGTAATTGTCACTTTATTTATTTTATAAGTTTGTTAGTAATTCATTTTTTTATTATTGTTTATCCACATCATCATGCAAGCAGTACTTGGAATAAGGTTCAATTATAAATGTGCTATATCATTTTAACATTAAAGAAAATTTTGCAATTTTTTTATTTTCATACCTCTGCATTGGCGATTTGATTATCACTTAATCAATCTTTTCAAATTGGTCAAATTACTAAACCTGCACCAATGAAAAAGAAAGAATAGATTTAAAAATCAAATAGGAAATATAGAAAAAAGAGATAATTATTATCTCAAAGATTAATTGAGTCAACAGTTAAAATACAAGTAATTTGATTAATTTTCAAAAAAACCACTTTAGACTTAAAAGTCAAGTTATTATAAAAATTTCAATATTAACATATTTAATTAAAGTTTTTAAAGTATTTATGAAGATTTCGATCTAAAACTTTGACAATATGTTGTCATTAAGTTACTAGCGAAGTAAGAGCACTGCTCATTCCATTATGCATATTAACTCTTCCAAGTTTTTTAGATTTTGTAAACCTGCACAAGAGAGTTGGATGAGAAATGAAATAGGACAATAGAAGTAATCATGCGAAATGATAATATTTCAATCTTTGTATAGTAGTACCATCTACTAAACTACTTATATAAAATTTTAAATAAATTATTGTATGTTTGTAATGTCATCTTTAATTTTTATTTATGCAAGAGTACTTGTAATTATACTTTTTTTCAAGTGTGATATTTATAGCATACAATATGTTACATACCTAAACTTGCTAGAGAAGTGTGTTGATTTGATTTACACTTAGATCCAAGCTTTTTCAAGTTTGTCAAATTTGCTAAACCTGCACAAATAAAAACAAAAACACAAAACAAGAGAAGAATAGAATTGAAAAAGCAGGTAGGAAAACACCAAATGATTGTAACTTTGACAATATTGGTTACCTAGTGAATTAAGAGCCTCGCTAGTCCATTATACAATATTCAACTTCCAAGTTTTTCAAATTAAACCTCATGGAAAGAGAGAGAAAGTAAAATATAACTCTTACTACTTATTTGATGGGCCTTGGGCAACTAATAAACTACTATTGATATATTTGTTATGTGATTGTAATGTCATCTATTTATTAACTCACTCATTTTTATATATGACATGATCTAACTTCTTACTTCTAAGTTTTTCAAATATTTTAATAGGGTGAATGAATTTTCTCACCCCAAGTTTGGCGCAATCTACATTTTCCCACCCATTATTAAATTTATCGTAGTTTTAATGGTTAAAAGACATTTTTACAGTCTAGTCTGACAAATTTTATTATAAAGTTAATATTACTTACCAACCCAAATAAAAAAATGGTAATACTCATTTTAACTTGGAATTAGTCACTTAAACTCCTATCTTCAATTTCTATTAAAAATTATTTTATTAAAAATCAGGTTATTAAATAAAAAAAAGTTAAGTTTATAAAAATAAAATAAAAAAAGTTATAAAAATTAATAACAGTTTTTAATAATTTAGAAAAAAAAAATCAAAATAAAAAAAAAAAAAATTGCACACCCCTTTTATCCTTCCACACCCCACCGCACAAAATTCTCACCCCCAATATTTTCTAATTCACACCTCTGCGCACCTTCCTCCTCCCCAAAATCTAACAACCCCTAGCGCACCCCCACCTTCTCATCTTTCGAAACCACTACGAACTCTAGCATCTAACTTATTTTCTTTTTCTCTTCATTTCTGTTTTTCCCTCTCTCACTATTAGTTTAAGTTTTCATGGATTTGTTCATTTAAGGTAATTTGATGGTTTTTTGGGGCACATGTTGTTGTGTTGGGTTAATATAATGTTTAGTTTGAGATTTTGTTGTTGTGGTTATGGTTTAAGTACATTGATTCCGGAATCGCACTGGCTTGGTGCTATCAGGCTGGTGCAAATGGACGGTGGTGGAGGGTTATGCGACAGCGTGGGTATGGAGGTGAAGAGGAAGGGGCGACAGGAGGGGATTGTCACCAGGAGGGGGCGGTGCTTGTGGAAGAATGGTGTGGCATCAGAATCTCTTTAATTGGTAATATAGCCTCTTCTATTTTTTTATTAATTCATTTGTATAGTTCCATACTACTGAACTGCCTGTAAAATCTTTTAAATAAAGTTATGTGAAGTAATGCCTCTAATTATAGCATAAAACGCAACTTTTTGCAAATTTTTAAATGCTACATACCTAAACTTGCTAGAGAAGTGTTGATTTGATTATAACTTGATCCAACCTTTTCAAGTTTGTCAAATTTGCTAAACCTGCACCAAGGAAAAAAGAAGAAATATAATTAAAAATTAAGCAAATAGAATAATTACATAAAAAAAGTAGATGACTACATCTCCAAATAATACACCAAGTAAAAATTAATAATATCTAAAATATATTGAAGCACATTTGAGAAGATGATTGTAACTTCATATTTTGATGGTTGGTTATGTTACTAGCAATGTTAGAGAGCGCTCATTCCATTCATTATCAATCCAACTCTGCAAGTTTCTCAACATTTTTAATCCTGTGCAAAGAAACATTAGATTTAAATTGAAAATTTCATTTTTAATTTTTATTCAAAGTTTCATATGCAAGAGTGTTCTCAAAAATTTAATGAGAATGATACCTAGGCTTGTAGAGAGTTGTTGTTTGATTACCATAGAGATTTAATACTTTTAGGTTTGTCAAATTTGCTAAACCTGTGCCAAACAATAAAAGAGATTTAGAGTTAATTAAAAGCAAGATTGATGGAAAATTTTAAGAAAAGGAAACTGATTTTAAGAAAATATTATCTTTATATATAAAACGTTAATTTAAAATTAAAATATTTGGGCACTCCAACATGAACATTTAGAATTTTATCTATAATATTAGTATATATTATCTTTCGATTTGTCACTATATATATCAATCATATCATTATATAAAAATTGTAAATTATTATATGCCATCAAACACGAAATTTTAATCACTTAGAAGAGAATTTAGGAAAATGAACCCAATTCCAATATCATAAATTAATTAAACTATTTAAAAAATATATCTCAAGAAAATGATTAATAATATATGCAAGGAAAATCTTCTAATATCAAGGTGAAGTTTCTATATACCAATTTAATTAGAATTTTTAACTTTGAATAATTAAAAATAAAAAATAAAAATTGCTTCATGGGACATAGGTAGACTTGATATAGATTCATTTATATGATTAAAACTTAAATCCAATATTTTCAAGTTTTTCAAATTTGCTAAACCTGGACACACACACACAAAAAAAGATAAATAGAAGTTAAAAATCATATATAGGAATCAATAATTGAAAGACAAAAATTTATTATACGTTCTCAAAAATTTCAGAGTAGTGATAAAAAGATGGCAATAATTTGATAAACTGGTTAAAACTTTACAAATTCGAACAGTAATTTTTACCCAAACAAAATTGAACAAATTGTAATATTATTTCTTTTATTGTTCTATTATAAATCTATTAATACACCATAATTAGAGGAAAAAAATATACTCTTTTGTTTTTATCACTTAAATTCTTTTCTATAATATTAATTATTAATATATTTAATATAAGGTTGTATAAATTTAAACATCATTAGTTTAAAAATACATTATTATCTAATAATTACTAAGTTTTTGTGTTTAGAGAAAAAAAGAAAAAGAAAAACAGCCCCTAAGTTTATACCTACACTAATAAAATGAGTTATTTTTTTTTTAAAATAAGAAATAAAAAGATTAAGATTAATTAATAAGAAATTAAAGAATAATACTTAAAACAAATATACCTTGTTTGGCTGATTTCAAACCTTCTCCCATATTATTGAAACTAAGATCCAAAGTGGTAAGTGAAGTTAGGTTATTCAAGTATGGTAAAAGAGTGGTGTTGAAGTAATTGTAACTAAGATCCAAGATCTTGAGTTGTTTCAAACACCTGAAGCCATCATATGCTGTAAAGGTAATGTCAATACATTATTGACTCAAGATATTTATTATTTACTCAACATATTTATTCATTTTTCAAAGAAAAACAATTAATGCATCAATATACATATATAGCTCATAATAATCTGCATAGCTTATTTAATCTATTTTTATACATCAAAACAATACTTTTACAATTAATTAACAAATTAATAAGCATGTTTTGTAATTTAATTAAGGATGTCAACAATGACATAAATTTTTTGTATGACCCATTTACTAAATGTAAACTATGAAGAAAGTTATAAAAATAAATAAATATATATTGCTAGACTGTTGCAAAAGTAATCTAATTGGAGCATATATTTTAAGCTAATTACATAAATAATATACATACCTTTATTCTCATGCCAATCTCTAAAGTAATTGAAAGATAAATTAAGACTTTTCAACTCTCCAAAAGGATGAAACAAGGATAAATTTAGAGTTGGAAGTCTATCAAGAGAATAATATTCATGACTAAATTGCCTTGTATCATTAAAGGAAAGTTTGATGACATGTCCAGTAGTGGCGTTGCATTGAACTCCCTCCCAATCACAACAATTAGACATTTTATCATCAACCCATGAAACAAGAATTTTTTCCGTTTCAAAATCACTGACTTCTTTTATGAAGGACTTTAAATCTAACAGACCAATCCTCTCATTCTCCAAACAACTATTGAATCTAGATGTTTGAACCAAAACTAATACAACCCAAAATGACAACTTAATTAACACTCTTTCCATTATAACAATTCTCTCTCTCAAGTCTCAACACCTATCAATTTGCTTGTTCACTCAGTTTCAAGTTTTTCTTTATTCCCCTTTCTGTGTTGATTTATATAGAACTAAATTTGAAATCTCTATCAACTTTTGTATTTTTAGTCATGACAATCTCAATCAACTAATGGAGTAAATTAGACGGCCAATAATACTATTTAATATAGTCATAGCAATCTCAATCAATTACTGGGTCAATAGTTTTTGTTTGTTTAGTTTACCTCAAACTTGAAAGGTCAAATTAATTTTTTTATTTTTTATTTTTAATCAGACTATATAGAAGAACAAAGTTTATTTTTCAATTTTTTTTTTTTATTAAGGGGTCAACTTTTTCTTTTTAGTCATGACAACATCAATCAAGCAGTGGAATAAATGGGATGACAAATAATTTTAGTTTTTTTTTTTCTTAACTAATTTGCCAAAATATTAATAGAAATTATTAGGCCTTTAAAAATTTTATATAAAAAGGGATCACTGACGATGATATGGCAGTAATTATTGATTTAAATCAATTTATTTATATATTAATTGATATTTAAAATCACAAGTCAAATACTATTTTGGTCTTAACAATCTCAATCAATTGATGGCCCAACCTTTTTTGTTCTTTTAGTTTACCATAAATTTGAAAGCTCAGCTAAAGACTTTTTATGATTATTATCTCGTCAACTTTCATAAATTAAATTAAATAATGGAATAAATTGAACGGCCAACAATTTTTATTCCTCTAATTTTTAATAAAAGGGAAATATTTCCTTAACCCCCATGTGTTTCATATAATTATCTAAGCACCATTGGTTTATTAAATAAATTTTTGTTCAACTATTAAAAGACATTTTTACCCTTGAAACTAAAACTAAGAATCTAAATATTATCCCAAACCTTTTAAATGTTATCAAATTTTCAGAAAATTTATCAAATTTTATTTTTACATAAAAAAAAACCTTTAAAAATATTCTCTTTTACCCCATAATCTTAAAATCAAATTAAAATTATTAAATTCAACGTCTCCCATTCTCCTTCCATCTAAACCCGCCATTTAAATAAGCAAACTCAACACAAATTCTTTCATCATCCACCGCAGAATTTACAATTAAACAAACTCTTTTCACACCACCACAAAATCCACCATATACCATTGAGAAAGCCACAAGCAAACCCACCATATACCATTGAGAAAGCCACATGTAAACCCACCGTATATCATCATCACCATGGATCTTCACCAAACAGTTTTTTTTTTAACAATCAATTTCATGTGATACTTTCACTCATTAATGGAAGCTGCTTTAATAAGACAACTAAGGTTTAACAATTTAAAAATAGAACAAATAAAAAACTAAAAAAAGAAAAATTGGAAGTTGTTGGGGACTCGTGGTGGTCGTGGCCATCACCAGAGCAGTAGGATTTAGTTGCCAGCATGGCCCATATGGCCATCCAGATCTAGCCGTTGATATGACCCAAATGACCGGCCAGATCTGGCTATCTTTATGGCCTCACACAAGCATGTATGTCATGATAGATTCAAGAAAAACAACTTTTTAATAAACTTTTTTACATAATAATAAATATTGAAATTTTAATAACTTTATTCCATACAATAACAATAACCTCGATGAAATTTGATGTTTTAAAAGTGGTTATTGTCAGTATTATTAAACACATTAAATAAAAGAAATCAAATTACATAACGAAACCCAGATAATACACTAATTTTCTAAAAGTAATCTAAATTAAACAAATCAATTAGAAGAGGAACTCTATGGTAACAAGATATTTTTCCTACATTAAAAACAAAATCATCAAGTTTAGGGAAAAATATAAACTTTATAATTTTTTTTACATATAACGAATTCAATTAAATTCGTATGACATGGACCTTATTTATTTATAATCTAAATATTGCATTTATCTTGTTTTTGGGTTTGATGATTGGATTAATAATTTAGAAATTATATAAATTGACTAAGGCATAATTGCAAATTTGAAAATTTCAGGGAGGGCATTGGCCCACCCTAGGCCAATGCTGGCTTCACCACTGAGAATTATTATTTCTAGTTTAAATTGAATAGAATCTCAATCAAACAACAGAATAAATTGAATGGCTAACAACTTTTTATCCTTTAATTTGTGATGACTTTGGTAGTCAAGTCTTTCATTAATATATATATATATATAGTTGAAGTTTGATTAGAGGAAAACATATCTTGACAAATTAAACAAAGAAATATCAGATCTTGCAAATTTGTCGTTTAAATTACGTAAAATATTAATAGTCAAGTCTTTTATTAAAAGACAGATAATGAGAACGAACGATATGTCAATACATATTTTGACAATATGTGTCTTGTATGGGCAGAAGAAAGAATCTCAATCAACTAATGGAGTAAATTAGACGGCCAATAATACTATTTAATATGGTCATAGCAATCTCAATCAATTAATGGGACAATGGTTTTTGTTTGTTTAGTTTACCTCAGACTTGAAAAGTCAAATCAATGATTTATTAAGTAATATTAAACAAAAACAATTAATTTTTTTATTTTTTATTTTTAATCGAACTATATAGAAGAACAAAGTTTATTTTTCAATTTTTTTTTTAAGGGGTCAACTTTTTCTTTTTAGTCATGACAACATCAAGCAAGCAGTGGAATAAATGGGATGACCAATAATTTTAGTTTTTTTTTTTTTCTTAACTAATTTGCCAAAATATTAATAGAAATTTTTAGGCTTTTAAAAATTTTATATAAAAAAGGATCACTGACGATGATATGGCAGTAATTATTGATTTAAATCAACTTATTACAAATATATATGCACGCACTCACACACATGCAGGGAATTAATTACTTGACATTAAAATATTAAATTTATATATCATAAGAGAACTCTGATAATCTTTTAATCTTTTATATTTATTTATATATCAATTGATATTTAAAATCACAAGTCAATTACTATTTTGGTCTTAAAAATCTCAATCAATTGATGGCCCAACCTTTTTTGTTCTTTTAGTTTACCATAAATTTGAAAGATCAGCTAAAGACTTTTTGATTATTCACTTGTCAACTTTCATAATTTCAATCAAATAATGGAATAAATTGAACGGCCAACAATTTTTATTCCTCTAATTTTTAATAAAAGGGAAATATTTCCTTAACCCCCATGTGTTTCATATAATTATCTAAGCACCCTTGGTTTTGAAATAAATTTTTGTTCAAATATTAAAAGACATTTTTACCCTTGAAACTAAAACTAAGAATCTAAATATTATCCCAAACCTTTTAAATGTTATCAAATTTTCAGTAAATTTATCAAAATTTATTTTTACCTAAAAAAACTTTAAAAATATTCCCTTTTACCCAATAATCTTAAAATCAAATTAAAATTATTAAATTCAACATCTCCCATTCTCCTTCCATCTAAACCCGCCATTTAAATCAGTAAACTCAACACAAATTCTTTCATCATCCACCGTAGAATTTACAATTAAACAAACTTTTTTCACACCACCACAAAATCCACCATATACCATTTAGAAAGCCACATGCAAACCCACCGTATATCATCATCACCATGGATCTTCACCAATTTTTTTTTTTTAACAATCAATTTCATGTAATATTTTCACTCGTTAATGGAAGCTGCTTTAACAAGACAACCAAGGTTTAACAATTTAAAAATAGAACAAATAAAAAACCAAAAAAAGAAAAATTGGAAGTTGTTGTGGACTCGTGGTGGTCGTGGCCATCACCTGAGCAGTAGGAATTAGTTGCCGGCTTGGCCCATATGGCCATCTTGATCTTGCCGTCAACGTGGCCCAAATGACCGGCCAGATCTGGCTATCTTTATGTCCTCACACGAGCATGGATGCCATGATAGATCTGAGAAAACAATTTTTAATAAACTTTTTAGCATAATAATAAATATTGAAGTTTTAATAACTTTATTCCATACAATAACAATAACCTCAATGAAATTTGATGTCTTAAAAGTGATTATTGTCAGTATTATTAAACACATTAAATAAAAGAAATCAAATTACATAATGAAACCTAGATAATACACTAATTTTCTAAAACTAAATTAAACAAATCAATTAAAAGAGGAACTCTATGGTAACAAGATATTTTTCCTACATTAAAAACGAAATCATCAAGTTTAGGGAAAAATATAAACTTTATAATTTGTTTACATATAACAAATTCAATTAAATTCGTATGACATGGACCTTATTTATTTATCATCTAAATATTGCATTTATCTTGTTTTTGGGTTTGATGATTGGATTAGTAATTTAGAAATTATATAAATTGACTAAGGTGTAATTGCAAATTTAAAAAACCTTGTAGATTCTTTTGAAATTTTCAGGGAGGGCATTGGCCCACCTTAGGCCAGTGCTGGCTCCACCACTGAGAATTATTATTTCTGGTTCAAATTGAATAGAATCTCAATCAAACAATGGAATAAATTGAATGGCTAACAACTTTTTATCCTTTAATTTGTGATGACTTTAGTAGTCAAGTCTTTCATTAATATATATATATCTTGGAGTTTGATTAGAGAAAAATATATCTTGACAAATTAAACAAAGAAATATTTGATCTTGCAAATTTTTCGTTTAAATTATGCAAAATATTAATAGTCAAGTCTTTTATTGAAAGACAGAGAAGGAGAACGATATGTCAATACATATTTTGACAATATGTATCTTGTATGGGCAAAAGAAAGAATCTCTTTTTAACCTTCGTAATTAGAGGGTTTCTAAATATTGAATTGTCAAAATCTTGACAAACGTGACAAAGAAAGATAGAATGTTGTTCATCTTGCGCTATAAATTGAGTACATTTTTTAAGATATCAAGACTAAATAAAGTAATGAGGTTTGAGATTTTAATTTTGTAGTTATGATTAAAACAAAATGAAATCATAGCTTATTCTATGTAAATTGGTTGCATTGTCAAATTTAAGTGAAAGAAATGAACCTTAATGGTATTAGACAGTTGAGCTTCCGGGATTTAGTTTGACGAGTTTAACTGACGATCAAAATCATAAAAAGAATATTAACTAATTCAATTTAAATTCTTATATTAAATTAACAATAGTGTTCCAAATATTTGAGGCTAGAAACTAGGTAAGATACTAGGAGCTACTTTTCGAAAGTTTGCTTGTGTTCGTCAATTTAATGGAGCCCCACAAAAATTTTGAAATTTAAAAGGAACATATCAATTCACTCTCATACTAAGGTTTAACAATTTAAAAATAGAACAAATAAAAAACTAAAAAAAGAAAAATTGGAAGTTGTTGTGGACTCGTGGTGGTCATGGCCATCACCAGAGTAGTAGGATTTAGTTGCCGGCATGGCCGATATGGCCATCTAGATCTAGCCGTCGACATGGCCCAAATGATCGACCAGATCTGGCTATCTTTATGGCCTCACACAAGCACGAATGTCATGATAGATTTGAGAAAAACAACTTTTTAATAAATTTTTTAACTTAATAATAAATATTGAAATTTTAATAACTTTATTCCATACAATAACAATAACCTCAATGAAATTTGATGCTTTAAAAGTGATTAACTGTCCGTATTATTGAACACATTAAATAAAAGAAATCAAATTACATAACGAAACCCAGATAATACACTAATTTTCTAAAAGTAATATAAATTAAACAAATCAATTAGAAGACGAACTCTATGGTAACAAGATATTTTTCCTACATTAAAAACAAAATCATCAAGTTTAGGGAAAAATATGAACTTTATAATTTTTTCACATGTAACGAATTCAATTAAATTTGTATGACATGGACCTTATTTATTTATAATCCAAATATTGCATTTATCTTGTTTTCGGGTTAGATGATTGGATTAGTAATTTAGAAATTATATAAATTGACTAAGGTGTAATTGCAAATTTAAAAAACCTTGTAGACTCTTTTGAAAATTTCAGGGAGGGCATTGGCCCACCCTAAGCTAATGCTGGCTCCACCACTGAGTTTTGGTTTAAATTGAATGGAATCTTAATCAAACAATGAAATAAATTGAATGGCTGACAACTTTTTATCCTTTAATTTGTGGTGACTTTGGTAGTCAAGTCTTTCATAATATATCTATGGAGTTTGATTAGGAGAAAATATATCTTGACAAATTAAACAAAGAAATATCAGATCTTGCAAATTTATCGTTTAAATTACGTAAAATATTAATAGTCAAGTCTTTTATTAAAAGCCAGAGAAGAAGAACGATATGTCAATACATATTTTGACAATATGTATCTTGTATAGGTAAAAGAAAGAATCTCAATCAACTAATGGAGTAAACTAAAAGGCTAATAATACTATTTAATATGGTCATAGCAACCTCAATCAATTAATGGGTCAATAGTTTTTGTTTGTTTAGTTTACCTCAAACTTGAAAGGTCACATCAAAGATTTATTAAGTAATATTAAACAAAAACGATTAATTTTTTTATTTTTTATTTTTAATCAGACAATATAGAAGAACAAAATTTATTTTTTAATTTTTTTTATTAAGGGGTCATTTTTTTTTTTTTTTTAGTCATGAAAACATCAATCAAGCAGTGGAATAAATGAAATGACCAATAATTTTAGTTTATTTTTTTCTTAACTAATTTGCCAAAATATTAATAGAAATCATTAGGCTTTTTAAAATTTTATATAAGAAAGGATCACTGATGATGATATGACAGTAATTATTGATTTAAATCAATTTATTGCCAATATATCTGCACTCACTCACAGACATGCAAGGAATTAATTACTTAATATTAAAACATTAAATGTATATATCATAAGAGAACTCTTGTAATCTTTTAATCCTTTATATCTATTTATATATCAATTGATATTTAAAATCACAAGTCAAGTACTATTTCGGTCTTAACAATCTCAATCAATTGATGGCCCAACCTTTTTTGTTCTTTTAGTTTACCATAAATTTGAAAGCTCAGCTAAAGACTTTCTTATTATTCACTCATCAACTTTCATAATTTCAATCAAATAATGGAATAAATTGAACGGCCAACAATTTTTATTCCTCTAATTTTTAAGAAAAGTGAAATATTTCCTTAACCCCCATGTGTTTCATATAATTATCTAAGCACCCTTGGTTTTTGAAATAAATTTTTGTTCAACTATTAAAAGACATTTTAACCCTTGAAACTAAAACTAAGAATCTAAATATTATCCCAAACCTTTTAAATGTTATCAAATTTTATTTTTACATAAAAAAACCTTTAAAAATATTCCCTTTTACCCAATAATCTTAAAATCAAATTAAAATTATTAAATTCAACATCTCCCCTTCTCCTTCCATCTAAACCCGCCATTTAAATCAGTAAACTCAACACAAATTCTTTCATCATCCACTGTAGAATTTACAATTAAACAAACTCTTTTCACACCACCACAAAATCCACCATATACCATTGAGAAAGCCACATGCAAACCCACAGTATATCATCATCCCCATAGATCTTCACCAAACAGTTTTTTTTTTTTTTAACAATCAATTTCATGTAATATTTTCACTCATTAATGGAAGCTGCTTTAACAAGACAACTAAGGTTTAACAATTTAAAAATAGAACACATANTAGTATGAATATCAAATTAATGTAGGCGGAACGTGTTTTACACTTGGTGGTTGGTCACTTTTTTTTAAATGAGAGAGAACATGTTTTCTTTCCTTTAAAAAAGTTTAGTTTTTTTTTTCTTTGTCATTTTATGAAAGATTGACTTCACAAAGCAAATTAAGCAAAATAAGTGGGGACATTCAATTTAGAGGCAACCATTCACAAGCAAGAGCTTTGGCCCCCAACTAACATAATTCTGTCATTCACAATCAAGTTGTGTACTGAAATAATCTTGCCAATGTTTTTGACGTGAAAGCAATAATTCTTCTATTTTTTTTTTTAACAAACAACGTTTTTATACTAAGACACAAGACGAATAAAACACTGAAAGCTGGCACACGTGACACATTCTATTATATTGACCCATGCTGAGGACTAGGCCACCGTTCTACTGTTAAATTTTTTGATGGAAATAATTTGGAGTTAAGATTTAATAAGATAATTTATGGATTAGCATAACATTACTCAAATTTAAATAATAGTTTCCTGTCCAATATATATAATATATCCTCTAATACTAAATACTTCGTTGATCAGTTTCAGCATTGCACTTTCCTGCAGGCGTTAGTTTCAGAAAATCAGCAAAAAACTTAAAAGATAAATTTGGTATAAACTTAAAAATCAACAAATATATTGTAATATTTAAAAATTAAAATATCAGATAATTAAATAATAAAAACTTAAAAAAATATATTCTTATACTTTTTATTTATTTAATTAAATCAGATTTTATAATTTTAAAAATATTTTTAACTTCCAAAAAAAAAAAAAAAAAATGAAATATTTGGAATTGTTTGAAAACATTTTTGCCATTCTTCAAAATATATTTGCGAATAATAATACAGAAACATTAACCTAAATTACGACCTTGATGTCTTTGGTAGTGATAGGAAGTTCTATGAATGAATGTTTATGATCAGCAATACCCAAGGAATTTAATTTTCTCAAAAGAAAAGATGGTTTCCAGGAATATGATTTCCAGGATAAGAAAATTAAAATTCAAAATACAAAAATGCACATGCAACTCTCTCCTGCTCGCTGTCTTTCCCTTGCTTAGATCTGCAAGCTCCTCAATAATCTTTTTGGGATTTCAACTTGCACCCGTACCAACTGATCTCCTCTCATGTTGCTTTTATTTAGTACTGGTACCCTTTTCCTTACCATTACAAGTGTTGTGTTCGGCTGCGTTCCAGCTGGGATCTTCAAATCAACCATGCCATCCACCGTCCGGACCTTGATTGTAGTCCCCAGAATTGCATCTATGTATGAAACTTTGCAGGTGGCCCCTTAAATGGCTACTAGTGTCCACACCAGCTAGAACTTTCAGACTGATCCGTTTTGTTCTCCTCACACGTCCATCCCTAGAACATGTGTTGTACGGAGTAAACACTTCCCCAGTCCCATTACATGAAGAGCCGGTCATTACCTGCTGGAAGCCACCTGAAGGAGTCCTTGCTGATGAGACAACTTGCCCTTGCCCACCAAGGGAAGTACATTTAGATGCCTTTGTCCNAAGAGAAGAAATCGAATTTGAAAAGCAGGTAGAAAACACCAAATGATTGTAACTTTGACAAATATTGGTTACCTAGTGAATTAGGAGCTTCGCTGAATCCATTGTCCATCATATTCAACTCTTCCAAGTTTTTCAAATATTTTAAACCTGCATGAAGAAGAGAGAAAGTAAAATATAACTCTTACTACTTATTTGATAGGCCTTGGGCCAATTACTAAACTACCTATTGATATGTTTGTTATGTGATTGTAATGTCATCTATTTTATTAACTCACTCATTTTTATATATGCACTTGATCTAACTTCTTACTTCTCTAAGTTTTTCAAATATTTTAATAGGCTGAATGACATTATCTCACCCCAAAGTTTGGCGAATCTACATTTTCCCACCCATTATTAAAATTCTTACATTAGTTTTAATGGTTAAAAGACATTTTTGTCAATCTAGTCTGCATAAATTTTATTATAAAGTTAGTATTACTTACAGCCCTAAAATACAAATAGATTGTAATTACCTTCATTAACTTGGAAATTAGTCACTTAAACTCCTATCTTCAATTTCTATTAAAAATTATATTTTTATTAAAAATCAGGTTATTAAATAAAAGAAAAGTTAAGTTTTATAAAAATAAAATAATAAAAAATGTATAAATTAATAAATAACCAGTTTTTAATAATTTAGAAGAAAAAAAATCAAATTTAAAAAAAATATAAAAAAAAATTGCCTCGGCCCCTTTTATCCTTCTCCCACACCCCACCGCTACAAAATCCTCCACTCCCAATATTCTTTCATAATTCACACCTGCTGCGCACCTTCCCTCATCCCCAAAATCTAACAACGTCCAACAACCCTAGCGCCCTACCTTCTTCATCTTTCAAAACCACTACGAACTCTATCAGAATTTATTTTCTTCTTTCTCTTCATTCTTGTTTTTGCCTCTCTCACTATTAGTTTAATGTTTTCATGGATTTGTTCATTTTCAAGGTAAATTTGATGGTTGTTTGGGGCGCACTGGTTGCTTGTGTTGCATTAATATAATGTTTAGTTTGAAGATTTTTGTTTGTTTTCGTTATGGTTTAAGGGTACATTGATTGTCGGAATTGCACTTGGCTTGGTGCTATTCTAGGCTTGGTGCAAACTGGACAGTGGTGGAGGTTATGGTGACGGCGGTGGGTATGGAGGCTGAAGAGGAAGGGGCGGCAGCGAAGGGGCTTGTTACAACTGTGAAGTGTGAACAGAGTAGTCATCCGGCTAGGGATTGTCACCAGGGAGGCGGCGGCAGATCTCTTTAATTGGTAATATATCCTACTCTCTTTTATTATTATTATTAGGACAGTGAAGAAATATTCCCTGCTCTCTTTTATTCAATCTTTGTATAGTATTACCATACCACTAAACTGCCTTATAAAATCTTTTAAATAGAAGTTATGTGAATGTAATGCCTTCTAATTATAGCATAAAACGCAACTTTTTGCAAATTTTTAAATGCTACATACCTAAACTTGCTAGAGAAGTGTTGATTTGATTTCGACTTAGATCCAACCTTTTCAAGTTTGTCAAATTTGCTAAACCTGCACCAAGGAAAAAGAAGAAATATAATTTAAAAATTAAGCAAATAGAATTAAATTACATAAAAAAGTAAGATTAACTACATCTCTCAAATATCAATTGAGCACAGATAGTAAAAAATTAAGGTAATATTTAAATATAATTACTGAAGCAATTTGAGAAGATGATTGTAACTTGATATTTTGATGGTTGTAGTTATTGTTACCTAGCAATGTTAGAGAGCCGCTCATTCCAATATCACTCAAATCCAACTTTTCCAAGTTTCTCAACATTTTTAATCCTGCGCCAACAGAAACAATTAGATTTTAAATTGAAAAATTAATTTTTTTTTTTATTCATACGTTATCATATTGCAAAGAGTGTTTCAAAAATTTAATATATATTGCATACCTAGGCTTGATAGAGAATTGTGGATTTCATTCCCATGAAGATTTAATACTTTTAGGTTTGTCAAATTTGCTAAACCTGTACCAAACAATAAAAAGAGATTTAGAGTTAATTAAAAGCAAGATTGATGGAAAATTTTACAAAAAGGAAATTGATTTTAAGAAAACATTATCTTTAATTAAAATATTTGGGCACTCTATCATGAACATTTAGAATTTTATCTATGATATGAGCATATATTATCTTCAGATTTGTCACTATATATATATCAATCATGTCATTATATATAAAAATTGTAAATTATTATATGCCATCAAACTTGAAATTTTAATTACTTGGAAGAGAATTTAGGAAAATGAACCCAATTCAAATATCATAAATTCATTCAACATTTTAAAAAATATATCTCAAGAAAATGATTAATAATATCTACAAGGAAAATCCTCTAATATCAAGGTGAAGTTTCTATATACCAATATAAATTTGAATTTTTNATCGTAATACCCGCCCAATTCAACTTTTTTTTAACTTTTTTCAAAAAACTTTTCTCAAAAACACAAAATTGTGAACCAAACAAAGCCAAAGTTTTTTTAAAATTTTTTTATTAAGGGGTAAACTTTTTTTTTTTTTTTTTTTTAGTCATGACAACATCAATCAAGCGGCGGAATAAATGGAATGGCCAATAATTTTAGTTTTGTTTTTCCTAACTAATTTGCCAAAACATTAATAGAAATTATTAGGCTTTTAAAAATTTTATGTAAAAAAATTATCAATGATGATGATATGGCAATAATTATTGATTTAAATCAATTTATTACAAATATATATGCACTCACTCACACACATGCAGGGCATTAATTACTTGACATTAAACATTAAACTTATATATCATAAGAGAATTTTGATAATCCATTATATTTATTTATATATCAATTGATATTTAAAATCACAAGGCAATTACTATTTTAGTCTTAACAATCTCAATCAATTGATGGGCCAACATTTTTTGTTCTTTTCGTTTACCATAAATTTGAAAGCTCAGCTAAAGACTATCACATTATTCACACATCAACTTTTATAATTTTTGTCATGACAATTTCAATCAAATAATTAATGGAATAAATTGAATGGTCAACAATTTTTCTTCCTCTAATTTTCAATAAAAAGGGAAAATTTTTCTTAACCCCCATGGGTTTCATATAATTATCTAAGCACCCATTGGTTTTTGAAATAAATAATTATCTAAGCACCCATTGGTTTTTGAAATAAATTTTTGTTCAACTACTAAAAGACATTTTTACCCTTTAAACTAAAACTAAGAATCTAAATATTATCCCAAATCTTTTAAATGTCATCAAATTTTCACAAAATTTATCAAATTTTATTTTTACCTAAAAAAGCTTTAAAAATATTCCCTTTTACCCAATAATCTTAAAATCCAATTAAAATTATTAAATTCAACGTCTTTCATTCTCCTTCCATATCCAAACCCACCACAAAATCCGCCATATACCATTGACAAAGTCACATGCAAAACCACCATATATCATCATCACCATGTATCTTCGCCAAACCAATTTCATGTAATATTTTCACTTATAAATGGAAGTTGCTTTAACAAGACAACTGTGGTTTAACAATTCAAAGATAGGACAAAAAATTAAAAAAAGAAAACAATGGAAGTTGTCGTGTGGCCATGGCCATCACCGGAGTAGTAAAATTTGGCCGTTAACGTGGTCACATGTATGAAAATGAAGGGAGAAATATAAAAAAAAAAAAAAAAAAATTATGGTTCTTTTTAGAAGTTGAAAGGTCAAATTTACCTTTTTTTCAAAGAGATATATCAATTATACTTGTCTCAGTCCTAGTTTTGAAAATAAGACCTATCATTTACCCTTTAACGGAATGAGAGTTAGGGTCCTATTTTCAAAACTAGTGGTGCTTGCTTAAAACCATCTCCAACCCATTGCACCAAATTGGTATTGGTGCAAGTTTCACACCAAATTGGTGTGATTTTTTGTGTGAAACACTATTGCATCTCCAACTCACTACACCAAATATTACACTAAAATGAATATTCTTTAGAATATTCTCTTTCTTTTATTGTAATAATCAACAATTAATCTATTTCATTCATTATTTTTGTATATATTAATTAAATATTGGGAATGATATTTTTATTAAATAATAATTACTTTGAAAATTATACTATTTTAATAAAATTAAGCCTTTATTTAATCAAATAAACATTAGATTTAATACAGAAAAACATTACATCTAATATAAAANTACTACTTTTGGTTGTTCCTTAATCAGAACTTCAGGAAATTAAATGTAAAAAGTGGACCAAGTATCATATCCACAAACTATTAGAACAGGTTTCAGTACTCTGTTTCAGACCAGTTTTTTAATCTTCAATTCAACTTAATTTTACCTCATAATTCTCAAATAAAAGGTAAAATTGAGAATCACAAATGACTCATTACCATTATCAGCCATCAACCCAACCATTTTGGCACTGCCAAACCAGAAAAGAAAAGTCATATTCTAGCACAATAACCTAATGCTCATTTTTTTCAAGTTATGCTATTTCCTGAGCTCGACATTGACTTTCTATACGCATAATGTTTATCAAGAAACCTCATGTAGCTCTCCCACACATCATGTTATGAAACTGCTTCCTTTTAAAAGCAACAATGAAAGGAAAACAAATTAATGTTAATTCTGCCACAAACACAAAACAAATTCTCTATTACCATGGACTTGAAAGAGCATAAGGATAATGTAAAATAAAAGTCTATCAGATACACAGTTAAAAAAAAATAAAAAAAATAGAGAAAATGTGTAATAGAACAGTTTGGACAAAATAGAAAAGAAAAGAAAAAGAAAATCCACATACCACCTTTTATTTCAGATTTACTGGCATTTTTTGACACCCCTAGGACAGAACTCATAAGCTCTGTAATGGAACAGTTAAACAGCACATCAATTGCATTACAAAGTATATCAAACATACATCTAAAGACCCACAAAATGTATAAACTAACTAATAAAAAATAGAGATTCAATCATCCCAATAGAAAGCTAAAGCTTATTCCTATACTCACCGCAACAGCTCTAACAACAAATCGTGCTCCTCTCGTATTCTTTTGGATTAAAGACGTAAACCAATGACATTTACTTCAGTGAATTACTTTGTAGTTTAACCAACTAATCATGCAAATATTAAAATTCCAATATTTAAGAGTAATACCATACTACTAAATTATCTATTCAAACTTTTTCATATAAACTTAGTTGTTATGCTGGTCATGTGTTTGCCACGTTAAGTTTCTGTTTTTAAGAAGTTAGTTCAGTCAATTAAGAAGTCCAAGTCAGATTAATGAAAATGTTGACTTGGCTTAGTTAGTTACTGTAGCTTTTCTTCTTCAGAAACAATGTGTTGTAGCTTATATAAAATGAATTAAAAAATTACACACAAAGGGGAGAAATTAAAAAAATATACAGCAGATTATAAAATGCTGAGAGGATTTGGCTGCAGCTATTACCCTTTTATAAGACCTTATAAAAAGCATAATTTTGCTTATCATACTTAATAACTGTGTATTCATTGGATATAGATTGACACATAAAGGTTATTTGTGTCTGTTGACAGACCAGCTTCAGATTTTATAGTGTTGAGCTGTAAAGAAAAAAATCTTTTCCTAAGTTGTCAGTCAAATCAAATGTTGCCAAGTCAGCTCCTAATTAACCTGTGTTTAGTTAGTTAGTTACTAATTAGTTAGAACTTGATTAAGCTTTGCTAATAGCTGTATATAAAGGACACTACTCTGTAACAAACAATATATTCTCATTAATAGAAAATCAGAGAAATTCAGTTTTAATATTTCTCTCAACTTGACATTATGTCATCAAAAATGGAAAATTTTCCTTCCTTTTCCTCTTCACCAAACACTAACGAAATTGAAAAAAAATGCAAAGAACTTGATTCTGATGAGTTCTTTAGCAAAAGAAAATCAACCTTCCTCTGAAAAATGATTCAAAACTTCTTCCAAGACACTGTAACAAATTTGTGTGGATCCAAGTCTCTTGTCCAAATAAAGTTCCTAATATGCTTCATGAGATTATTGAGCACAGCTTTTGGCCACATGCAAAATTTAATTTTAAGGCTATAGAGCAACTGGAATGCATAACGGAATGGACAAGTTGGGTTAAGAGCTTTCCTTTCCATTCAGAAAGCTTTGCCTTTACTCTATCTGCAATTGGCTTGAGGCAGTCTAATTTAGGTTGGCAATAAAATATAGGAACACCTAGATAAGTGAAAGGTAGTTTGCCTTCTTGAACCTAGGATGTCGTTTATATATAATACCCTACCTCTGATTGAATTTATGGTCAAGATAATAAGAGCTCTTAGATATGTTCACCCTCTCGCAGAAGTTTGCTCATACCCATCGGGGAACTTGATTAATTGTCTCAAGAAATTGGAGTCAGCTCGAACGAAGATAAAAATATCATCAGTAAACAAACCATGGGATAGAGGAGTACACCCTCCAGGAGAAGAAATACTAGTGATTTGTCCCTCTTCTAGAAGTTTTGATAGACCTCTACTGAGAACTTCCTTTGTAAGACAAAAGAGTAATGGAGATTCAGGATCACCTTTACCAACCCCTTTATTACAAGTCAGATAAACCTTTAGGAGAACCATTCACTGAGATTGATAATTTAGCTGCGTGCAACAACACCTTAACCCAATTGATGAAGATTGGATCAAACCCACAGGCTGCTAGAACACAAAGAACAAAATCCCAGCATAAAATATTAAAAGCTTTAGTAATGTCAAATTTGAGACCAATGTTGTTGCCTCTGACCTTCTTCCCTACAAGCTGAACATTTTCGAAAACCATGCCAATACAATAGGAGAATTATAAAGCTTCTTATAAAAATCAACAATATACTCACTAATAATAACCTCATTTAAAACAGTGACTCCATCCATATCTAAGCTGTGCATTTTGGACCTAGCATACGTCACATTAGCATGGGCATGAAAGAAATGAGTGCATTTGTCACCATCTTTAAG